CTACACAATAAATATAACTCCTCGAATATGCACTACCACTACCAAATTGTAAGGTACAAACATGAACACCTACTCGTATATCAGAAAAGAGTACTTATACAAAAAAGTGTTTATTATAAAATATAAAATAATTATCGTAAATAGTTAAAGCGATACAAATCTAACTTCGTCCAAAGTTAGTTTTCAACTGTCTTTGTGCCTGTGCTGATAATATTCAATCTGTAACCAGTCTGTCGTTTATTTACTTGAAACACATTTTAAAACCATTAAACACAGATAACGAAGTCATTAGGGAATAAATATATTCATTTCTTGAAAACTATTAAAAACGTATATTTAACGCATCATCTTTGTTTAAATAAAGATGTTGACAAACAAATTTAATAAAGTTTACTAACAAATACCTAATAAATAATAAATAATTATTTGGTATTTGATACGTCGCCTATGCTAACTCTGTCGTAATTTTCATTCATAGACAACAGTGTTGATCATGTATATGACTCACCTTCTCCAATATTTTGTCCGAGTATAGACAACCACTAATCTGAATTATTTTTTCAAATTCTTCAGATAGTTCTCATATGATTGGTACACATTGCCTGTGGTCTTCAATATTTATATTATTTTTGATAGAATCAATAATAAAAAAATGTAATCTTAGGTATCTACAGTTACAATACCATATTCTCACTTGGAGCATTTCTAATTTCTAGACACCTAATTTTCTTTAGTGACGACCCTGACCTCTCACATTCTTTCAATGAAGTTTACTTTAACTGATATTTCTTAATCTTGCTTTTTTATTGCATTTTTCATGTTATTTTTAAAGGAAGATTTTTATTTGTATGTCTTCGATGTTATCATTTGTGAGTAAACAATAAATAAATGATTATAGCCTGGTGTTACACTGATCTATTATTAGAGTTTAGAAAAATATGTATACCAAACAAACAATTTGTTATAAAAACAGATAAGTAAATTAAAGACGTCTGTGATGTGTCAAACGAAAAGCGACAATATTTTTATTTTCGATTCTCTTGGAATTGATTAGTCTGTCTACAGAATTCATTAATAGAGAAAATATATTAGTAATGTGCATGTCATAAAAGAATAGCAATCTAGATTGCAGGGCTAGTAAAATAAATAAGATCAAATTGAACAAACATATTTAAATTGTAAGAAAATTCACTACTATGCTTTATGACAAGTATAGTGTAAAAAAATGGCGTGTTCGCGATTCATATTAATTTTCCCGCGCCTGACATTTGTTCTTTTAGTAAGCGTTTCTTTTTTTTACGTTGTGTTACACTTGTGTGGGGCTTGCGTATTTTTCGCTTTTACTGAGGCCTCCCTACTTATGTGGTCTCAGTATTGCTATCGTGTCGGCAAGAAAATGTTCTTATCCCCACTTTTTAACACTTAATTTTCTCCACGTTTCCGACCACTTAAAATCGAAACCACAAAAATCTCGTCTGTGCGTATGTATGAATGTGCGCCAACACGATAACTCTTTACGAAATTTCCGATCGACACACATCGCTGAGAATAAATTAATATGATTATCTATTTGTCAGTAAAAGAATGTAGTTATGCAAATAATAATTTAAGTATAATTATAATTTATTTACTAAAAAGATACAATAAAAATGTTATTATTGGTTTTATTGACAAAAAGGTGAAAGGCCCAAATATTATTTTTACATGGACAGACTTAAGGGATAGAGGATTCAAATATAGAAGCAAAGGGAGCCAAATCTTTTTGAATGAACAGTGGTAAAGAGCCAAATATTTTTACAAGGCTTAAAGAATATTCTATTTAGTGAGTTATTCATTGACTTTGCTGGAATTATCATCTAGGGAAGGCCCGGCCTCTGACCAAAACTATTAAATCGCTCTTTTTGATATTCTGAGGGGATCGTGCTCGCCTATCTCCCCATGGTTACGCCAATGGAGTTATTATATATACAATATAACCGTAAATACAGTACAAAAATTGTAACTCTAATCAGAGTTGATATGAAAGTGACACTGCTGTCAAACTTGTTTTAAACAAACACTAACTTATATGTCAGGGTATACAACACTGCGAACAATATGCTTACAAATTTTTATATGTGAAGCTTATTCGCGATTTAAGCTTAGTGATACGCCCTTTGGAAGAAATTTGTATAAGGTGCCTATAAGTAGGATATTGTTTAGCGTTGCCAGGAGAGCGAAATTTCGTTACGTCGTCGGATTTTTAGCCTTTGAAGAAGTGGATAAGACAGACCTTTTTTTGAGTAATAAAATTTGTCTCTAGTAATTTTTATAAAACCAATTTATTATATGGATTTTTTTTTTAAATTTCAGTTTATTTATCAATTTTGTTTTAAAATCAGTTCAGCAGTTGGCAACATTGCATTCGTGTCCACTGTTATATTTTATATATATTTTAATTTGTATCAATTATAATTCGAATTTTTTTTTACTTGAGAGCTTTAAATTTGTTTAATTCTTATAGTGTGTGATAGTGTTTATATTAAAAATGAAATTTGCGAAAAAGTCTCCAACAAATTGCAATCTATATGGTATTAATGTCAAACTCATTCATTATTTTTCAAGCGTAAGTCGTAAAATTTTGTTTCTTACAATAAATGGATATCTACAAATTCACATTGAGATTTTGCAAAATTTTGTCTAGAATCAAACTGCAATATCTGCATTTTTAATTAAATTTATCAATAAAAAATTTTAGGTGCCTAAAATGTCCTTTAAACCACATAATAAAACATGTTCTACGTTTAGTAAATAAATATTTCTAGATGTTTGTGTAACAAGATAGGCGAAGATTTCCATCAAATTAGTCATAATACATGACAAATATTATATTTATGACGAAAGCATGGAAACTAAACTTAAATTAACACTAAATGAAACTCGAAAACACTATTATAATGGGAATATTATCTAAAAACAGTTAAAAAATCACAAATACAAAATCCCGCCCAAAACAAAGGCAATGTAAATAAATAAACATCCTACTTATAGGTGACAAATGACAGGCGCGCGAAAATTAATTTGAATCGCATCGCGAATACTCACTCGTACGAGTTTGGTAGAAATAATGGACCCAGCATTAAATGGGTTGGATCTCAATTTGAGCTGAAGTTTCAAAAGTCTAAAACCATCGAGCTATGTTATTTTGTACGTTGTTAAAAAATTCAAAACTACTGGCATTTTTGTTAAATCTGTTAATATTTATAGGTGAGCAATATATATTTTTATTTACAACCATATATGTAATGTCATTACTAACGTCATTGAAGGTTGGGAAGTGTCACATTACACACCTCTACTTCCCGCCCTCACTTCCCGCCCTCATTTCATCTATTCTAGATGAATATTTTTTATATTTAAAAAAAAAATAACACAGTGTTTGACAAATTTTATAATACCTATTTAATGGCAAACAATAAAAAACAACAATTATCTAAAATATAACAAACTACTTATTGATATTTATTATTCGCGAATTTAATATCCGGCTTTATCTGACATTTATTTATATTGGTGACAGTTGTTTACCCCGTAATCACAGTAACAATATATTTACCTACTTGATTATTCTGAGAAAACCGCGCGCTTGGTAATTTGTCGTTAAATGTAATATTTTAGGTATATTCAGAACAAAACAGAGATTTATTAACTTTGATCGAAATATGATGGTTGTAAATAAAATAGTATACAAACCTCGGTAGGAAGTTTCATTCCTGTCTCGAGATCATAGCTAACCTCGACGCTTCGCGTCTTCGTGATCTAACTAATCTCACGACAGGAATGAAACTCTTCCCACCTCGGTGTGTAATATACTATTACTTCAGTACTGTATATTACTGGTCATACTGTATAAGTTTAGTTTTGTGCCTCTGTAGGCTTTATTTATAATTTGTTAGAATGTTATATATCTAGACAATCCTACCCTTAAAATATAAATTCAACAAGATTTATATTTAAAAAGTTTAAAACATTATAAAAAAATAGTTCATATAAACAATTTATCTTCAAATTGCATGGACAATTTTTAGGTTAGTATTCCAAACTGTTCATATAAGTTAACACTCACAGCAATTTTTAAAGTAGAAACATTTATTATTTTGGATCACTCCATATTACTTGAAGTAGATATAATAAGTTACCACGGGCCCACATATGGAATTCAATGTATAAGAGTGAGAGGTACATATTCAATGGGTCAGAGTGAGGGGGGAGTGCGGGAAATTAAATTTATTTTAAAGTGAACAAAAAAATCATGCGATTGCCAAAAGAACCTAAGCTTGTTTCTCGGCTACTATTGGTCCGATTCAAAAGAAAAAAACGGCATTATGTAGAGAACGTGGTATAGATGAACGTTGAAGAGAAAAATCATGCTCAGTAACAATGTCAAAAGGACCTAAGCGTGCTTCTCGGTTATTACTAGTCCGATTCAAACGGGAAAAACGGCATTATATAGATAACGCGGTATAGATGAACTTTGAAGAGAAAAATCATTTGCAGTAGCAATGCCAAAAGGACCTAAGCATGTTTCTCGGTTATTATTGGTCAGATTAAAACAAGGAAAACATCATTATGCAGAAAATGTGGTATAGATGAACGTTGAAGAGAAAAATCATGCGCAGTAGCAATGCCAAACGGACCTAAGCGTGTATATCGGCTATTATTGGTTGGATGAAAACGATATTATGTAGAGAACATGGCATAGATGAACGCTGAAGAAAAAATCAGCGATTCGTTTGATGTTTCGTTTGACGTTTCGTTTGACGTTTCGTTTGACGTTACGTTTGATATTTCGTTTGACGTTTCGTTTGACGTTTTGCATGACCTTTTCGTTTAACGTTTCGTTTATTATTATTATAATTATTATTATTTACTTAATACATTTTTTGTTGCATTTCTATTTTAAGCACCATCTGCCAGAAAATTTGAATAAATTAGTCAAGTTTTTGAAATTTGTACTTTACCTTGTTCGTTGACCAGGCCCGTACTGGTGTACCTGTCCGGTCGACTCTTCCTATAAACAGCTATAGCCTCTGTAGGCGGCCTAATAGGATACTTCCCGCTACTCTTCATCACCTTCTCGATATCCTCTTTTTCAAAAACGCTTATCACCGGAATGTTGAACAGAGCCTCCTCCTTTACTATGGGTCCGTATTTTTCGTGCATGTCCACATAAAATTCGTGGATCTTGTTAAAACTGTATCCGCCGCAAGAAAATACCCATCTAGTACCCAGGACTGGCAACGTTAGGGGTCCTGGAATGTCTTGGACTTCTTTTCGTAACCAATCTACGGCTTTTCTGCTCCACCAAGGCGGGCGATAGCCGAAGACAAGGAACACTATGACTACCAATACATAGTTGAAGGTGTTAAATGAACACAAAATTTCGTTGATCATCTGAAAAATAAAAGAAAAATGCCATGAGTTGTGTCTTTTTTTAATAAGGTATTCGCTCCGTGCGTGACAGCAGCGCTAATTCATTTATGTACTAATAGACTATTTTTGCCTATACTGACAATACAATTTTTAATAGAATTCGTAATTAAAAAGTATATATGTTAGTTTTAATAAAAGTATATGGATTTGTAAAACAAGTAAAACATTAATTTATCATTATTATATATTTTTATTGCCTAAACTAAAAAACAATTTAGTATATTCAATTAAAATCAATGATAAAATAAAGGCAGGCAACAGTATTTACGGGAAAATATATGAGAAGTTGCCTAAGTCTAATTAGTTGTCTTTGAAGAATTAACCTACCTAAATTATCATAATTTTATTTGGGGTCTTCATAATTCCTTCATTTCACAAATAAATTAATTGTTTGGCAACCCTGCAATATTCTTCAAAAATATTTTAGCGTTGAATATAGTATTACTAGGCCATTCTAAAATTGAAATATAATATTTACTAGACCATTCTAAAATTGAAATATAATATAGGGTGTTCCATTTAAATAATGTACATTTTTATTTTCCAGGCAAAAGCGCAACATCCTGTATATCCAAAAATATTTTTAAAATATGCATTTTTCAAATTCATATAGCTTTTATTTGAAACTTGTTTATAACACAAATTGATTTATTGAGCAATTACGCATTAATGGGACACCCTATATAAATGTACGAATGCTATGAAGGACCACATTATATTTTTTTTAATTTCGAACATAAATATGAAGTTTCGACTTTCCCGATAGGGGAAAACGAAATTTGTAACATATACGTTAGTTCATAAGGGTATGTGTATTCACGTGACGCCAGAGGCAAGGCTAAAGCTTTATCAACTTCACTAATCCTTATTCCATCCTGGAATAGCATGAATGACTCACTGAATTCGCTCTAAAAATTTTCCATATACTTCGGAAGGAATAAAGAAAATATACAGTGTGTGCCAAGGCTAAACCTCAATTTTGTCGAATTTCTTTTAAATTACATGACGCTTATTTAATTTCACAATTTCTAGTAGCTCTATTTTTATTGATTTTTCTGGAAAGTTAATGTTTCTGTCTGTTAGCCACTTTCTTCCATAAATTATTTGGCACACGTCCAATTAGATGGGAATGGTAACTAGCGTTATCCATTACTATAACTGAACCCTTTGGTAAATGTTCTATCATCTGCTAAAAATATTCTTCAAAAACATAAGCGTTCTTATCTTCATGGTAGTCTCCGGTTTTTTTAGATTGAAATGTACTTAAACAGATAACTTTGCCATTTACATAAAAATTGCAAAAAATAACTCAAAAAACATTTTGTATACCGAAATAATATTAAACATATTCAAAAAAATATTTTTTTAAATGATGATTTTATGTACCCCGTTAATAATAATATAGGCACCCAGTCAATCGTCTGAGTGCAGTGTAGACAATCCACTCGAGTTGTACAGTATATTTTTTCTACGACCCACTAACGAAAATTTTTCCCCATTCGAGAAACGAACTCCAGTCTTCCGCCGCAGATTACCCAGATGCGAAAGTTGACAAAGAACATCAAAATTAAGAGAGAGATAAATGGCCATACCCATTTAAAGGTCCCTCGTAGCAACTCGTTTCCACTCGCGCAGTTCCGAAGGCAAAAGTTATTTCATTATGCGAAGTTGCCGGTGCTCCTAGGTTTTCTGATGTTATGCGACATTGGACTTTAAGTCAAATGAAAATGTACATACATTTTTTAGTTACCACAGACTTTAATAGAAATAAGGCATAATTAAAATCCGCTAAACATAAAATAATACAAAACCATTTAAAGGTTTATACCTTACATTTCTTAATGACAATCAATGACACTTTAAAAAACGCGTGAAATTTTAATTTGTTATGTAAGAAAAGGCGATTTTAAGTCGTCATTATAATGACGTTCTAATAATCTGATTTAAAAATGTTTGGTTTATATTGACACTAACTTCACAATGGGTATAACATTGACAGATATCATGAATTTTTGTTTGTGTATTATGTAATAGTAGTAGGATTTGTTTTTGAATTTGTAGGGATAAAAAATAAATATTTGTTTTGTTTACTGATCATGGATGAAGAGAAAATTGGTATTATAGTTACTTTGGCCTCTGATTTTTTATCAAAACTTTAGCCATGTTCATTAATAAATCCTACCTTGAAAATAAATTGGCTTTTCATTTGCAGAAACCTTAAATGCGTCCATATCTAGGTACTCAGCCAGGGTTGCCAGACGTCGCGCTTTAGGCGTAATTGTCCTGCTTTTTAACTTGCTGACACGCGTTACGCCAAAGTACAAAAATGCTGCGCATTTTACCTTATTGCTACGTTTTTTAAATTCAAAGTTATATATAATGATATTTTTGACAATGTTTGACCTGTTTTTGAGAAGCTCAGAAAAAGGAATCTAATGGTTTAAATAAATATAAGCGGAGGACCTTTTTTTAGATCTCTACAAAAAAGGAGCTTATTTTAAAAAAATACCTGTTTTTTAAACCTGATACCCTATCGTCACCATTGTCCCACTTTTTCCTTTCGTAAATCTTTCTTTCTATTTTACAAATAACACAACCAAACAATGATTTAATAATTAAAAAGTAAAAGTTTTACATTTGTCATTTCATTTGACATTTCATACCTGTGATGACCACGTTTTTACTGTAGTCATGTTAAACTTGACTATTTCAAGACAATATTCAATATGACGTCATTGTTTTTGATTTATATCAGTGTAGTCAATCATATTCAAGACATAGTATCGCCTAAACTTGCTTAGGATGATGTAAGTGATATGACATTTCTGTGACATTCGGACACATACTTTGATTACTGTACGGTGCAGGAGAGGTCCAATACGCCCAACATAAGGCGCGGCCATTTTGATGCCTTTGCCACAGTTTATGCTAAAGAATCAGTTCGGTCACTCTGCGTCGGCACTTTTGAACTCAATGTTCCAGTTTATACACTGCGCAACTCGGATAATACAATATATGACAACCGCCTATAATAAAACAGCAGTCTTCTGCGCATCCTAAATTTGTCGATGTTATTTTGGAACTTTCAACTGGTCCAAGTGAGCTAACTGATTCTTTAGCAATAAACTGTGACTTCAAAAATAATATTCACTGACACTGACAGCAGCAAGCAAAATATTAAAAATATTGTGCCAAGATGTAGGCAACACGTAATAAGGCATCAAAATGGCGGAGTTTTCTATCTCCTTTTAAAAGGCACTCAGAAAGCAGCGCAGTGCGACCATTCTCCGTATAGTAAGAGAAAATCAAAGTATGTGCATTCGGAACAATCAGGACCGGTCGTGACGCTTTGCGTTGTGTAATACAGTTCAAGGATTTAAACACTCTTTTTTTGTATCATCGGCATCAACTGCTACGGTTATTATCCTGGTATTCTGTGTAGGCTTTGTTATTATTGTTTCCCAGCGCCACATTAGGAACGGCACTGTTAATTGGTACCCAACAGTGAATGGTCGAGTGGGGAATCCTACCAAGGCATCAGAATTAGTTTTAAATAATTAAATTAAATGAAAAAATCCCGGCGTTTGTTAACATTTTTGTTATGACTACTTTTTAAAGTTATTCGTCTTCGAATATTTTACCCAATAAAATTCAGCAACCACCAGATATTTCAGAAATCAGCCAAAAAAAATAGAAAGGTATGTATTTTAAGTAATGTCTAATGAGTGCTTTAGATCTGATTCTTCATTAATTAATTAATTTATGAAGAATTTGATAGATATAAAACTAAAACCAAATTTAATGAATATTCATGAATAAATCTTTTGAAGAGGTTGAGTGGTGTGTACACACTGGGTAATAAGAAATGAATGGAGAGTATTTAAAGTGTGTAAATTGAGTTTTATTAATAAAACTCTGTAATATTAGTCTAAGCGCTTTCAGCCTATTAGGCCATCATCAGAGACTTCGTCAAAAACTGTAGAAGTAGCATGAAACTTTATATTTAACTAAATTAAAAAGGACAGCAACAAACCGGTCCCTGTTCTTTACCATAACTTGAAGCTTGAGTAGTAAGAAATAGAAGAACCACTCCTAAAAGGTGGTTGCATTTTAAGAAAACACGTGGGGGTTCATCCCAACAAGTAAAGTTGTACCATCCCAACCATTCAGAGGTAGAGAAAAAACTGTACTTCAACATGAAGCCAGCTAACTTTTCCAAGTTGCTGCCGAGAGGCGGAGGCAAGTTGGGGCACAAGAAATCGTAAATATTACGATTTCAATTTACACTTTAAATACTCTCGATTCATTTCTTAATAAATCTTTTGTTTTGCATTGTCATCCAATTATAACTTTAAAGTTCAGAAGTATCAACTCACCAAACTATTTGTTCAATATTTGTTTTATTAAGTTTGTGGCTACAGGCGTTAGAATTGTAATTGCCTGCTAATAGGCTATATACAATAAGTATTCAAACCTCAATTATTTACAGTTGCATTGGTTTATATTTTATCCCAACAAACAATGAATTACCGGGATATTGCTGGCCTTTTGCTGTAATTGAAGGGAAAATGAATGCGACGATTAAAAAATAAAAACCTACGTTTGTCCTTTTGATAGTGGCCCAGCATTATGTAGGTTGATGATGGCCATATGACGGGTAAGTAACTGGATTGGGTATAAGCGAGGTAAAGGTCAGAAGGCTTTTAACTGCCACATACCCAACCCTCCAACAGTCCAAGAGGGTTCCGTCCCGCGTTCATAGATGATCACTTGTAGGGATGTCGATTTTTCCAAAAAAAAAAATCGATTTTTTGTATAGATCTAGATCGCGCTTTTAAAAATCGATCCACTAAAAGATCGTTAATATTAAAATCGATCTATGAAAAATCGATTTTTTGATTTTTTTTTGTTTTAGCTTGTAAAAAAAATAACACAATTTAAGTTTACTTTATTGTTTATTTTAATCTAAACACCAATCTTCTCTCTCCAAACAATTCATAAACAACAGCCTATCAAATCTTTCAGGAGCCAACCTGTTTCTGTCTTCGGTTAGGATTTGGCGAAGGTTCACAAACATTTGGGAGTTCCAAAATTTAATGGGGTTTGTTTTTTCAAATTTTCCAATGGTTGGTTTAAATAAAATGCCGAAACAAAATACCCGTGCGGCGTGCGTGCAATAAAAATGGAGGTTAGGTCAGGTTAGGTTAATTTATTTTCTGCTTTTTTTCTTCTTACTTGTCATTTGTCATTAATTATTGGCCTCTTACCATTTAGGATTTACGTGTCTGCTTACGTACAGCAGAATGAATCATAACAGGTGAAAAAAATTGCATCAGGTTAGAACGAAAACTGAATCGTAAAAATCTTAAATAAAGTAAAAAAAATCTTAGAAAAAATCGATTCACTTGCTACATACTCAACGAGTGGACATGAGGCCAGTTTCGGATTGCTGAT